GGATGACGTTTTAAATTTACATTACAGTAAAAAGGCTTAAGACTTACTGCTTTACTGCAAAAGAAGTTTAACAAGTAAAAAGCAAAAATATCCTAGTTTCATGGAAATATAGCCACAACTATAAACAATAACTGAATGGAAAAAAATGACCATTTCACCCATATACAGTGTATTTTAATGTAATAACAGATCATTAAAACTATAATAGTGTAACTTTTGAAAAAAGATTTATTTATTTATTTATTTGAAAGGGAGAGTTACAGAGAGACAGAGACAGAGGGAGAGAGAGGTCTTCTATCTGCTGGTTCACTCCCCAGATGGCCGCAATGGCAGGAGCTGCACCGATCCAAAGCCAGGAGCCAGGAGCTTCTTCCAGGTCTTCCACATGGGTGCAGGGTCCCAAGGACCTAGGCCATCTTCTGCTGCTTTCCCAGGCACATCAGCAGGGAGCTGGATTGGAAGTGGAGCAGCCGGGACTCTAACCTAACCCATATGGGAATGCGGCACTACAGGTGGCAGCTTTACTCTCTATATATACCACAGTGCTGGCCCCAGTATAACATTGTTAACCATTGGTTTGACAAAGATATAAAACAAAATTTCACAAAACTATAATTGAACCAACTACTTAGTTTCTAGGACAAACACTAGTTAGTTATGATATGGTATTCCATTTACATATTGCTAAATTTCATTTACTAGTATTTATTAGATTTTTGTATCTGTGATTTTCAATAATATGGACCTATAACATTCCCTAACACCCTATTCTGGTCTGGTTTATTTTTATTTTATTTTATTTAAAGATTTATCTATTTTATTTGAAATGCAGAGTGACAGAGAGAGAGGGAGAAACGCACACACACACACACACACACTCTGAGATAGAGAAAGACAGAGGGAGAGAATTTTCCATCCGTCCGGGTCTCCCACCTGAGTGGCAGGACCCCACGAACTTTAGCCATCTATTCCTGCTTTCCCAGATGCATTAGCAAGCAGCTGGATCAGAAGCAGAACAACTGGGACTCCAAGTGGTGCTCCAGCATGCTATGCCAGCATTGCAGGCGGCGGCTTAACCTGCTGTGCTACAAAGCCAGTCCCTCTGGTCTGGTTTTGAAATCATGGTTAGGCCAGCCTCAAAGGAATGAATTGGGAAGTTTGCCTTTTTCCCTACATTTCTTGTCCAGTTTAAATAGGAAGACTTCCTTTCAGGTTTAGTAAATTACTTCCAATCAATATTGTTATGAGCATAAATATCTTAGTTTTTATTCCATGTTCTTGCACCCACAGAGGTAAGGATTCAAAGCAGAGGCCACAGTACACATGGGAGAGCAGGGTTTATTTTAAAAAGAGAGTGAATATGCATCCACATATGAATGATGAGAGACATCATGGTGAGTGGGCCAGAGTTACCTACGAGGAGGGGCAGTGGCAAGAGGCCAGAGAAGGACTTGCAGTATGGCCAAGAAGCCAAGAGAGACAGAAGGGCCTTCCTTGCAGTCAGTCTTTTTATGAGATGGGTGGTGCCTTAATTGAATATACAAACAGGGAGGAGTTGAGCATGCACGAGGCTTTCTGGGAGTCTCATGGCGCCTCTATGTGGGGTTTAACTTCCACATGGTGGTCATGGCATCTCCCCCTTCCTGGTCCTGGATGAGACGCAGGTGCATCATGGGAAAGTGGGCATACTGGACTGACAGGTAAGGGAATGGGGTTACAACATAGGGCTACCCCGCTTCCAGCTGTATTGATTCCCACCTAACTCCATGCCTGGTTACTCTGCATCAATGTTAGTTTGGTATCTTCAATATCAATATGCACAGAGGGTAGTTTCTTTAATGATTATAGCTTATCTATGTTTTCTATAGAGTATAGAAGTGATGTTAATTTATATTTTCCTAGAAGTAATCAATTTAATAATAATTTTGTAAAGTGATGATATAAGCTTATTTATAATATTCTAGTTTGTTTTAAAAATCTCTTTCAGTCCTTGGCTACAGCCTTTTCCTACATGTAAATGTCTGTCAGCCTTTCAGTCACTCTTTTTCTCTACTTGCTCAGTTTGGTCAGACGTTTTCTACTTGATCAATATTTTTCTGTGTTCACGAAGTCTATTTTGCTAACCTCTTCCATTTAAAGGTCTTATTATTGGCTTTTCTGTTTGCTGGGCTGACCCTGGGTGGGGATGGGGTTGCGGGATGGTGGGCGTGCAGCAGGAGAGGGCGCCTCAAGGGCGGGAACAAGGCGGAACTCCAGTGCTCACCTCCAGGTCTCACAGACAAAACAAAGCAACCGGAACTACACCCTCTTCGTTTTGTTTTAAAATTCAGGTAATTCCTTTATTTGGATATATACGAGGATACGTTGCAAATTGAAAGGTGGAGTTACAGACAGGGAGAGGCAGAGGCAGAGAGAGAGAGAGCGAGAGAGCGCACTCTTCCATCCATTTGAGGGTCACTCCTCAAATAGCCGCAGTGGGCAGGGCTGGGCCAGACTGAAGCCAGGAGCCAGGAGCTATCCTCCTCTGCTTTCCAAGGCACACTAGCAGGGAGCTGGATCAGAAGTGGAGCAGCCAGGACTTGAACCAGCACCCATATGGGATGCTGGCACTGCAGGCAGTAGCTTTACCCACTATGCTCTTCGTTTTTTTTTTTTTTTTTTTTCCAGTTGATGAACAGAAAAGTTTTGGATATGTAACATCCAGATGTTATTCTTTATAAGTTCATTTTTGTATTTTATGAGTTCACCCATGATTTCAGGGCTTACCGTATCACAATAATACTTCTAACTCTTCTAGGGCAAAGTCAAAGTATGTTTCTTCCTACTGTATTCCATCTTGATTCCCATCAGTGAAGGCAGATTCTAAATAATTTGTATAATAGGAAAATGTATTATCTCAAGAAAGTGTGGTAACTCTGTGATTAAGATCTTGGCAACAGGCCGGCGCCGCTGCTCACTGGCTAATCCTCTGCCTGCGGTGCCGGTATCTCAGGTTCTAGTCCCTGGTTGGGGCGCTGGTTCTGTCCCGGTTGCTCCTCTTCCAGTCCAGCTCTCTGCTGTGGCCCGGGAGTGCAGTGGAGGATGGCCCAAGTGCTTGGGCCCTGCACCCGCATGGGAGACCAGGAGGAAGCACCTGGCTCCTGGCTTTGGATCGATGCAGTGCACCGGCCGTAGTGGCCATTTGGGGGGTGAACCAACAGAAGGAAGACCTTTCTCTCTGTCTCTATCTCTCACTGTCTAACTCTGCCTGTCAAAAAAAAAAAAAAAAAAAGAAAGAAAGAAAGAAGAAGAAATGTGAAGTATGCCAGTGATATCTAAACAAATCTCACACCTGATTGTTTCAGTAGCTGAAGGTCATCTCAGAGCCTGGTAATCTTTTTTTTTTTTTTCAGATTGTTAAACAATTCTATTCAACATATTTATAAAGAATCCACTATGTGCAAGAGGTGCTTTTGAAATACAAAGATATAAGTCTATTTATTGTGAAGAATATAGTAAGATGAAACAAAATGTTAACTGCAACACTAGCATGAGGTGCCATGTGAGGAGAAAACTATTGTAGAGACTTAAGTAGGGGCAAAATGCAGGGGAGGTCCTTGGAGGATGCAGCAGCATATGCAGCTTGAAGTCACTCAGGCTAGTGTGGATCCTTAATGTGAGTAAATCACCAAGAACAGGTGATCCTACCAGCGGGCTATGTCACCACCACTCATGTTTTGAACTTCAAATGCAAGCACCATTCCTAGAGATTCTAATTCTGACTTGTACCCCACCTGAGAACTACCAAAGCTGTGAACTGATTCCAACGAAAAATACTTAAAAAGAGACAGTGAGTTTTGAAATTCCAGCCTTGGAAAGTTGGGATACACTGGAATGTTAGGTGTGTGTCTGAATTCCAAGGAAAATCCCGACAACAACCTTCAGAAATTGTGTGCCGTCCAGACGAGGCATATTTCCTGAAGAATACAGTGAAATTTGTATTTCTTCTCCATAGAGCTCAGTGGGAAACGTAACCCCCTGTGATGATAAGTTCTGACATGTTATTTATTGAGTGGGATGAATTGAGCACATTAAATGCTTTTTGCACTCTTTTCCCTGAAATGTGATTTTATCCTTTCCTCTAAAGTAGAACCAGTGGTATTAAGAAGAACAATGTGTCAAGGATGTAATGTGCGTTAATATCCTAACATAAGATGCTAAGACACACCCATGCACGCAGGGGAAGTGCCCTTACTATAGCATCTTTATCTACGCTTGACATGGCATTTAACTTCAAAGTGGATGTTCTTGTGTCTTCGTGTAAAACAGAATTGACTAGTTACTCAGCAAAATGCTTATGAACACAACAAAGAGCAGTAACAATGAATTCTTAAGTGCAGAAATATTTATTAGAAAGCAGAGAAGCAATGAAAGAGAACAAAGTCACTTCAGGACAAAATTCGGGCTGCCTGGACCCCTGGTTCTGAGGATGTGAAGTCAGTACCCACGGGGGCTGCAGGTGGAGTCTGCCGAGCTGGGAAGGATGCTCCGTAGGGGATCCGTGAGAGATTTAGAGAACTGGGATGTTGTCTTGGCTGGAGGATGGCCAATGAATTCATATTTGGTGTCAACATTGGAAGGAAGATGGCAAGGGAGAGAGTTCAGATGACCCCGAATATTCTCTTGGAGCCAGAGGACTAGGTTGAGCTGATTAGAATCACAAGGCCTGTCCCATTGAGTGACATCAAGCAGACTCCACGGGTCCTCAGGGTCAGTGCACAAGAAGGTCTGTGTCCAGGGACAGAGATGAAGGAGGAGGTGGGGCTAAGGCAGGGCTCTCAGCAGCAAGGGACAGCACAGCACATGGGGCGGGGGCAGGTGGAGATGACACAGGTTGGGCGATAGCAACTGGTGTGGCAGGAGACTTGGCCACAGACTGGGCGGATGCAGCAGCCAGGGCAGCAGCTGGGGCGGCAGCAGCTGGAGCCACAGCAGCTGGAACTACTACAGGAGGGGCGGCAGCAGCTGGAGATGCAGCAGGTGGGGCGGCAGCAGGAGGGCTGGCAGCACTGGGGTCTGCAGCAGCTGGACACGTAGCAGGTGGGCCTGCAGCAGGTGGGCTGGCAGCACTGGGGCCGGCAGCAGCTGGAGATGCAGCAGGTGGGGCGGCAGCAGGAGGGCTGGCAGCACTGGGGCCTGCAGCAGCTGGAGATGCAGCAGGTGGGCCTGCAGCAGCTGGGGCGGCAGCACTGGGGCCTGCAGCAGCTGGAGATGCAGCAGGTGGGCCTGCAGCAGCTGGGCTGGCAGCACTGGGGCCTGCAGCAGCTGGAGATGCAGCAAGTGGGCTTGCAGCAGGTGGGCTGGCAGCACTGGGGCTGGCAGCAGCTGGACACACAGCAGCTGGGGCGGCAGCAGGTGGTCCTGCAGCAGGTGGTCTGAAGGCAGCTGGGCTGGCAGCAGGTCTCCTGCTCAGAGCAGACAGAGCCACAGGAGCTGACCATGGTGTCGGAGGGTGGAGGTTCTGGATGAGTTTGTTTCCAGGAGAGTGAAGTTGTTGGGTTTGGAAGTCTTCATGTGCTGTACCCCCTCTTTATACCCTCCAAAGCCTGTGGTCACCACACCATTATTTCCTTGTTGTTATTTATCCAGCTGGAAAACATAAGTATTTAATTACTTAATTGTGTGCGTTTAGTTAAATATTCCAAGAGAGAGAAAATAACCCATTTCCTGTTCCAGGTGTGCTCTAGTGTTTCCATTTGAGATTGTCACATTTCCTCTTTACCAGATGCCACCTTTGCTTCTGGCCAGTGCGGTGTCTTTTACAGAGCCACTCACCACATGAGCCTCTGGAAACTTTGTTTTTGAATGGGACATTTCCTCCCCTCTTCATTTGCTTCCTGCTTGTCGTGTGGGCTGCTTTTCACAATGCTGCCATGTCTTTTATTATCAAAGAATGTTCTGGTCAAGTGACACGTGGGAAAGTAATTAGAAGGAAAGAGCTGTTTGGGGGAAGGTGTGTGATCCTGAGTGGATGACTTGGAAGGTGAGACCCCAAGGAAGTTCTGAGCTCTTATTCCATAGTCTCCAAGTACTTGGCAATGACTCACTGTTTTTAAATAGCAAAAACACGTTGTTGATGTGTGTCTTTCAGGTAGGCGTTAAGAATGGGAAGTTCTGATTTATCTTTTGATTGTCAGATTGCACAGAGGATTGTTCATTTGCAGAAGCACTTGCTGCTTATAAACACTAGACTTAGCAGGGCTTTAATAATATGGTTCCAGGACATTCTGTTGGGTGCCCTGGGGGTAGGACAGCCCCCCGCATGCATAGGAAATGGTGGCCAGCAAAAATTTTAAAAACCATAATTGCTTTAACTGAACAACTAAATCTAACTCGATGGTATGAGGATATGTTCTTTATGCCCTCAGTATGCGTGTGGCATTTGTGAAGTATTTATTCTCTACCAGACACTGTGGGGTCATATCTTGTATATTCTATTTGTTTTGTTTTTGATCTTTAAAGCAGCCCTTTAAAGCATCTTCCACTTTCCTAGGGACATTAGCAGGAAGCTGGATTGGAAGTGGAACAGCCAGGACTCAAACGGTGCCCATGTGGGATGCCAGCACTGCAGGCAGCAGCTTAACCTCTATGCTACACTGGCTCTGTATATTCTTATTTCTTGCTTGCTTGCTTATTTATTTATTTGGAAGGCAAAGTTAGAGAGAGAGGAGGAGAGATAGAGAGGTCTCCCACCCACTGGTTCACTCCCCCAGATGGCTGAAGCCAAGAGCTTCTTCTGGGTCTCCCACATGGGTAGTAGGGGCCCAAGTACTTGGTCTATCTTCTTCTGCTTTCCCAGGCACATTAACAGGGAACTGGATAGGAAGTAGAGCAACCAGGATTCAACCAGCACCCATATGGGATTCTGGCAGTGCAGGTGGCGGCTTAGAAGAGATGAAAGAAGCATGGAGAGGTTAAAAATAAACAAACAACAACCTTGTCTGAGATTGGACAGAAAGCAAGCCCAGCGTCTCAGCCAAGGAAAGAGTGAAGAAGAAAACCTGCCGACCTTTGCAGAAGCTGATTCTCCCGGGACTGTTTGTTCTTTCTCGGCTCTGCCATGTCCCACTGGTCTGCCAGGACCTAGGTGAGGAGTGGGCATCTGGCCTAGCGGTCAAGATGCTGGCCATGCTGCCCGCATCCCACATCGGAGTACCTGGGCTCCTTACCTGGCTTCCAGCACCGGCTCCTGACCCTGGGAGGCAGCAGGAATGCCTCATGTTTGGACTCTTGCCATCCTGCGGGAGACCTGGATTGAGTTCCTGGTTCCCAGCTTAGGCCTGGCCAAGGCCCAGGCTTTGCTGGTGTTTGGAAGGTGAACTAGCGGATGAGAGTTCTGTCTGTCAGTCCCACGTTGTTGCTTTCTCTTTGCCTGTCAAAGAAACAGACCTTGTTGAAATATTTCCTCCTGAATGATAATCTCCCCTGATAAACTACCCTGTTGACATCAGCTCTTCCTTGCACAGCGCTTCACTTCAATTCACTCTACCTTATCAGAGTTCCCTACTTCTGGCATGCTACCAGGTGCGAGGTAAGTGTCCTGAAGGTGTGGTCTGCACAGGGCCCAGACAGAGGACCTGGTGATAAGCACTTGTTGAGTAAATTAAGGCTTTCTCATGATGGAGGACAGGTATGGTCCTTTACAAAGCACTTGTCCTTTGACTGCTGTAGAAGAGGAGAAACATTCCAGACTGCCATTCTGTTAGAGGGGAGCTATATTTATTTATGTGATAAGTAACATGCCGCCTGATAAATACTGCCTTGGAAGCTGTGGAGGTTAAGGTTTGATTTGTAGAGTTAGATTTGTTTCCAGATAACCATGACTCCTGTGCTTGACACACTGACCTAAATGCACACGGAGATGACAGGAAGGAGGTAAAGGCCAAATGGTAGCAGAGCTCTCCTTCGCCCCCGGGCTTCCCAGTTTTATTGTTAGAAATAACCGCCGTTATACACTTACTATTAATCAGCTAGACACGTTTGCTAAACTTCAGTGGTCTCAGCTCAAGTTCTGTCCTTTGCAGAACCCGAGACAACCACTTGAGTCTACATGGAAGGGGACCCCAGGAGGCACAGGAGAGGGGGTGGGGAGAGTAAGATAGGAATGGAAGGAAAACCCCACCTGTTTGTGCTGCTGATGGGGTTCCCGCTGTGGGCATCTGGATGGGGGCTTGCTGGGGTTGGCTGCCCTGTTTGTAGAGAATCAGTTGAGTATTTGAGTTATTATTAACCGTGAGGTCAGATAACTGGTGAATTGATAAAAATCAGTGTTCTCATATACTATAGTGGAAAAAATATACTCATGATTCTCAATACGATTTCTCATGTAAATAAATATGCCAAGCAATACACTTGGCTTGGCTGGGGAAGGTATTCACGTCTCCTGAAGTGCATACAAGATATCTGAATAAGTTAGCACAGGACATGTACAACTAGGGCGTGCGTTTGCTGAGTGGTTAAGGTGCCAGGTGGGGTGCCCACTTCTCGTATCAAGGTGCCCTGGTTTTGAGTCTGACTTCCACTTCTGATTCTAACTTCCTGTTAATGCATACTCTGGGAGACGTTGGCTGATGGTTCAAGTAATTGGGTCCTCATCACCCATTTGGGAGATCTGGATTGAGTTCTAGGCTCCTGGCTTGGGCCTGGCCCAGCCCTGGCTGTTGTGGGCATTTGAGGCATGAACCAATAGATAGAAGATGTGTCTCTGTCTCTCTTTCTGCTTTTCAAATACCATTAACTAAAGCCTGATTTGTGAATAAATGCCCATAAGTGGTACAGATACATTTATTAGGGTGTGTCATGATTTGTAACAATGGGTTTAAAATGGAATTAGCAATTACAAATGAAATAAAACTTCTAGTTACATTATTTTTGCTGTTTAAATTTTTAAAAGCATGTGTGTGTGTACAAATGACATAAAAATCTGTAGAAAGGAATAAATGTGATTGATATAAAATGCATGATTTTTTTTTTTCTTCTTTACTCTTTTTTTTTTTTTTTTGACAGGCAGAGTGGACAGTGAGAGAGAGAGACAGAGAGAAAGGTCTTCCTTTGCCGTTGGTTCACCCTCCAATGGCCGCCGCGGTCAGCGCGCTGCGGCCGGCGCACCGCGCTGATCCGATGGCAGGAGCCAGGAGCCAGGTGCTTTTCCTGGTCTCCCATGGGGTGCAGGGCCCAAGCACCCGGGCCATCCTCCACTGCACTCCCTGGCCACAGCAGAGGGCTGGCCTGGAAGAGGGGCAACCGGGACAGAATCCGGCGCCCTGACCGGGACTAGAACCCGGTGTGCCGGCGCCGCTAGGCGGAGGATTAGCCTAGTGAGCCGCGGCGCCGGCCAAAATGCATGATTTTCTATGTAGGGTCTGTTAAATACATTTTCTGCTATTACATTTGTGCTCCCATTTCTATCATGCACTAAAAAATTAAAAGTGCATTCCAGTCAATCACTCTCCAGTTAGTTGCTGTGCCTTTCAGATTGGTCTGGGGGCTAGGTCGGACAGTCAGGGAGCAGACCCTGGGGTGGAGACTGGCATACCAGGGTGGGGTTGAGATGTGCTCTTGGAGTTAACCCCTGTGGGAGGGACGGGAGGAAAGGGAGGATGGGTCACTGGGAGAAAAACTGGGAGCAGCCTCAGTGGAGGTCTCAGCTGACCCTGTAGGGAATCCCAGTTAGAGGCATCCCTGGCCAGGGAGAGGGACGTGGGTGCTTATTGTCCCATCTTGATAAGGGAACATGACCTTGGGTTAAAAAAAAAGTCCCAGCCTACAGCCATACCTGTGACTGCGCCAGGTCTGCCTCCCTCACTTACCTCACCTGCCTGGCCCTGGAGCCTGCACAGCAGGATGGGCTCCCTGTGGAAGCTCTGCCACAGAACAAGGCAGATCTCCCATGTGTATGGAGAAGAGACTCACTGCACCTGACTCTCAGTGGAAAACAGGTGCGTTTTGCTAAGCCATTTGTGGACTGCTTTTAGAGTCCCTCCCCCCTTTTGTGATGTTAAGAAATCTGCCCCTCCTTTGGAAATCATGCTTGCCTGGGAAGCAGCTGGGGTAAATGTCAAGAATTGTTAAATCCCTGTGAGCTCCTTGAATTCTTCTTTGTACTTTGAAAATATTTGAACAGAAAGACAAAAAGTCTGAAACATGGTGGTGTTTTTAAGATTTATTTTATTTGAAAGGCAGAGTTGCAGAGAGAGGGGGAGGGAGAGACAGAGAAGTCTTCCATCCACTGGTTCACTCCCCAAATGGCTGCAATGGCCAGGCAGGGCTGGGCCAGACTGAAGCTGGGAGCCAGGAGCTTCCTCTGGGTCTCCCACGTGGGTGCAGGGGCCCAAGCACTTGGGACATCTTCTGCTGCTTTCCCAGGCCATAGCAGAGAGCTGGACCAGATGTGGAACAGCCAGGACTCAAACTGGTGCCCATATGGGATACCGGTGCTGAAGGTGGTAGGTCAACCTGCTACACTACAGTGCCAGCCCTGGAAAATGGTATCTTAAAAGATCATGTGATTATAAATTAAATTGAAAGTATATAACTACAGAAATTAAAGGAAAAAAGGAAGGAAGTACTAAGGGGGAGAAAGGGAGGAATTTTAAATAATGAATATTTTATACACACACAAAAATCCTGCTATTATACTCATAACTTTAACTTCACTCTTTTTTCCCTAAAGACTGCAAAATGATTAGTTGATTTGTCTAAGACTAAGGAAAAAAAAACTTCAGCAGTGATGAAAATCCCTTGACTTGTGTTGGAAGGCTGCCTGCAGGGGGCTGCCTGCCCTGCAAGCACAGGCAAAATACGATCACCCGGGACCCAACCCTTTTGTTAGAAAAAGACAAGAATGACCACATTCAGTTTTCAGTGCCTATAGAATAGAGGTTTATTCTGGTACATGGAAATAACAAGGTACAAGAGCATCTTTGCAAAAACAGAAGGGGAGAAAATTCAGAGGACTTTGAAGTTCAGAGAAGTTAGAATCTGTGGTCCTACAAGTGATGGAGTGAGTCTTCAGTTCCTTCACATGATGAACGTCTGTTCTGAAGACAAAGGGAGAAACCCTGGCAGCATTTTATTCGTTTATTGGGAGACTCTCAGTGACGTCACTTGGAAACAAGGGAATTTGAAGTGAGAATATGGATGCAGAGTTCCTAGGAGCAAGGGTTGCTCGTGGACTGGAGATCAGTTTTCTTGAGCACTCCAGGTCCTCATACGTGGGGTTGTGGGGAAAAGGAGATGGTGTATGCAAAGCCGGGATTCAGCAGCAAGGGACGGCGCAGCACATGGGGCGGGGGCAGGTGGAGATGACACAGGTTGGGCGATAGCAACTGGTGTGGCAGGAGACTTGGCCACAGACTGGGCGGATGCAGCAGCCAGGGCAGCAGCTGGGGCGGCAGCAGCTGGAGCCACAGCAGCTGGAACTACTACAGGAGGGGCGGCAGCAGCTGGAGATGCAGCAGGTGGGGCGGCAGCAGGAGGGCTGGCAGCACTGGGGCTGGCAGCACTGGGGCCTGCAGCAGCTGGAGATGCAGCAGGTGGGCTGGCAGCACTGGGACTGGCAGCACTGGGGCCTGCAGCAGCTAGAGATGCAGCAGGTGGGCTTGCAGCAGGTGGGCTGGCAGCAGGAGGGTCTGCAGCAGCTGGGTCTGCAGCAGGTGGGCTGGCAGCACACAGACTGGCAACACTGGGGCCGGCAGCAGCTGGAGATGCAGCAGGTGGGTCTGCAGCAGGTGGGCTGGCAGCACTGGGGCCGGCAGCAGCTGGAGATGCAGCAGCTGGGGCGGCAGCAGGTGGTCCTGCAGCAGGTGGTCTGAAGGCAGCTGGGCTGGCAGCAGGTCTCCTGCTCAGAGCAGACAGAGCCACAGGAGCTGACCATGGTGTCGGAGGGTGGAGGTTCTGGTTGGGTTTCCAAGAAGGTGGTTGTTTGGAGTTTGATCTCCCCTTGCTCCCTCTTGCTTTTTATACCCTGTTGCCGGCTACTGTGACCATGTGAAGGATCTTGTTTATCCAGTAGAAAATCAGTTAGTTTTAGTCAATTAGATAATTGTGTTTCTCTGGCAAAGATGCCTATATATAGAAGGCACCATTTCCTTTTCCTGTTGTGTTAGGAGCTACCCAATTTGATGAAGCCAAATGAATCACCTCCGTTTGTCTTCCTCTCTCTGAGGTGTCTTCTAATGTAGATCTCTCACATGACACTGTTTCATTGGATTTCTCAAGTGTCAATTCTTCAGTATGTTGAGGATGGGTTTTATGATGACTATGACATCCAAGATGTGAAAAGCAAGTCATAGGGAATGCTGGTAGGAAAATAGAATTAGAGCTCTATCTTTGGGAGGTCTAGGGGATGTCTTATCTGCAGTGAGAAGAAGCACGATGCCTTTGGATTTACTGGATGGTCGGTGAGATGTGAAGTTCCCAGTGGAGTTCCTGTCGATTTTGTCTTGCTTAATGTATTCTATTTGAAACAGTTATAATGCAATGATTCATTACTTTTAGATAGTAAAAATGCATTGGCACAATGGATGCTTTTAAAAATTGCTACATCATTATTGGCATGTTCCTCAGAAACAGGGCATCATAAGGCAGCATTTTGACTTCTAGTCTTTTAAAGTATTTGAAGTATTATTGAAAATATGTTTTCTCATATCCTGACCTATTTTCTCTCAGCAATGCATGCTGGAAATATTTTGCTTGAAACAAGGGAGACATAAAGGGTTAAGCTTTAATTTATGTCCTACAGACACTTAAACAGGACAAGTGAAATAGAGATATTGGAAAGAATTTGGCAACTGCAAGTATTAGGAATATTGTATGAGTGGTAAGCCATACAACAATTTGGTATTTCAGTCTGTACATTTCAAATGAAAGATGAGATAACACTATTAACTGATAATTTGTTGAGTGCTTACTGTGCATCAGGAATTTTCTGAGGCTTCTATGGCTTTTATCTTGTTTACACTTCACAAAGACTCTCTGAGGTGGGCATAATTTTCCTTAATTCTTTGCACATGAGATAATTAAGACCACAGTAGACTGAAGTCACACAGCCAATAGGGAAGGTGATCTGGCTCCTTCTGACTTCTGTTTCCTAATTTTAAAAAGTCCTCAAAGGTAACCCATTTTTCTTCAGTTAATAATGTAAAAAAGATTCTGTTGACATCATTAAACATCCAGGACCTTCAGGTTTGGGGTTGGACTAAATGGCTGTCCTCACCTACAGACGTCTCTTGAACTTGATGGTGCTTACATTGAGGAATAAAGATCATATTTTTAGTTTTTATATTTTCATTCCATTTGTCCATAAACATTTTGAAGTCCTTTTATATATAAGCATCCTAAATATAGATTAAAAAAACATCAACAGCCTAATAAGAAAATGAAGTGCAAACATTTCTTCACCATATAAAGATTCCCAATCTCCTGCATAAGAGAAATGAAATTGTATGTGAGAGTACTTCTTACCAGTTATATTGTCAAAAATTCAAAAAATTTTTGAAGATTTTTAGTTATTTGAAAGGCAGATTTACAGAGAGGTAGAGGCAGAGAGAGAGAGGGATAGAGAGAAAGGTCTTCCATCCACTGGTTCACTCCCCAGATGACCAAAATGCCTGCAATGGCCTATCTGAAGCCAGGATCCAGGAGCTTTCTCTGGATTTCCCACGTGGTTGCAGGGTCCCAAGCACTTGCGCCATCTTCTACTGCTTTCCCAGGCCATAGCAGAGAGCTGGATAGGAAGTGGAACAGCCAGGACTTGAACTGGCGTCCATATGGGATGCCGGCACTGCAGGCTGTAGCTTTACCTGCCTTGGTACAGCTACAGACCCCAAAAATTCAAAATTTAACAATATTTTCTGTTAGAGATAGTGTAGAAATTGACATGCTCATACTTTTCTTGATGTTTATACTTTTCTTGCTAGGATTGGCAATAACTGGCAGCCTTATTCCTTGATCCGGCTACCCTAATTCTATAGATTACCCCAAATATACTTGGGCAAAACTATGAGAAGATATAGCACAAGATCATTCATAACTTCTATTTGTAAAAATAAGACAAAATTGGACACCACCCTGAAGTCTTTGCAGAGTGCAGGTGAATAAATGGTGGTGCATTCCTGTAACAGAATCCGATTCTGCTATGTACAGGAATGAAGGGCACCTTTATATGCTGTTATGAAATAATCTCCAGGATATATAGTTAAGCGACGATACAGCAGGTGGAGAAAAATGTGTAGCATGTTCTACCATATGCCTAAAAATCCAGGATATAAATATAAAAATATATTTTGCATTTAAAAATCAATAACAAAAGAGGAGATGAAAACCTCGGAAAAAGGGACTTCCACTTGTAGCCAGGATAGAACAGCAGGGACTGGATTTACCCTACTTCCTGAGAAAACTAAGGAAACAAAAAACAAGGGCAACACTGGTTTTTAGAGATCGGTTGCCGTGTACAGCAGGGTACTGATGACTTAAGAGGAGGAAACAAATGAGGTGTTTCCTAGGCAGGAAGAACAATTCTTGGAGATGACACAAAATACCTCATATTGCCATGAGCCAGAGCAAAAACCTTATAATTCATGGGTCATTGATTGGAGTATTCATAGTGTTGCTGCCTCAGGAATGGAAAAAATCCTGCCTTGGGGTAAGGGCTGCTGTGTTCCCATTTCATGGAGTTTAGAAGTCCATAAACCCAATGGCCTAAAGTTCCAGTGAAGTAAGATCAACAAGTTCTAGAGAGCTCTTGTAAAGCTTGTACCTATAGTCGGCGTTAATGGATTGTACTCTTACAGTTTTGTTAAGAGGATGAATCTCTTGGCCAGCGCCGTGGCTCAATAGGCTAATCCTCTGCCTTGTGGCGCCAGCACACCGGGTTCTAGTCCCGGTCAGGGCGCCGGATTCTGTCCCGGTTGCCCCTCTTCCAGGCCAGCTCTCTGCTATGGCCCAGGAGTGCAGTGGAGGACGGCCCAATTCCTTGGGCCCTGTACCCCATGGGAGACCAGGAGAAGCACCTGTCTCCTGCCTTCGGATCAGCGCGGTGCGCTGGCCGCAGCGGCCATTGGAGGGTGAACCAACGGCAAAGGAAGACCTTCTGTCTCTCTCTCACTGTCCACTCTGCCTGTCCAAAAAAAAAAAAGGATGAATCTCATATTGAGAATTCTTACCACAATAAAATTGTTAAAGCAAATCTAGAAAAATCAAATTATTAAGTGATTTAATTGCATCTCAGGAAAATCAATTAATTGGACTCTTATCAAAATCAAAACTTTTTGCTTTTCAAAATATATTGTTTGGGGCTGATATTGTAGTGCAGCAAGTTAAGCCCCTGTTTGTAATGCTGTCATTTCATATGGGCACTTGTTTGAGTACTGGCTGCTCCACTTCTTATCCAGCTTCCTGCTAATGAGCCTGGGAAAACAATGGAAGATGGCCCAACTGCTTGGGGCCCCACCACCCATGTGAGAGAGCTGGATAAATCTATCTGGCTTCAGCCTTGCCCAGCCCAGCCATTGAGGCCATTTGGAGAGTGAACCAAACCATGGAAGATTCTCTCTCTCTCTCTCTCTCTCTCTCTCTCTCCCTCTCTCCCTCTCTCCCTCTCTCTATAACTCTTCCTTTTAAAAAAATGATTTTTTAAAATGTACTGCTTCTGAAAGAAAAAAGATAAGCTGCAAACTTGGAGAGAATATTTATAGACCATAAATCCAACAAGGGACATGTAAATAGAGCATAAAAAGAATTCTTACCACTGAACAGTAATACAAACAACCCCACAAATAAATGAGCAAAAGATTTAACAGACACTCACTGAAGGAAACATACAGATATCAAACAAAAGATGATCAACATTGTTAACCATTTGGAACATGAAAATTAAGGCCATAATGAAGTAACATTGTACACTTTCTTGAATGGTTAAAATTGACCGGAATACTCATACTATGCATTAGTGATGATGTGAAGCCATTAGAATTCTTATACAAGGTGGAAACAGAAAATGGTACAACCACTTGGTCAGGCATTCTGAGAGTTTCTTGAAGAGTTAAAGGTATATCTACCATATGACCTTGCCATTCCATTTAGAAGTGTTTACCCAAGAGAAATAAACACATATGTTCATACAACGATTTGTTTGTACATGTTCATGATAACTTTATTTGTAATAGGAAAACCTAGAAATACACCAGCAGGTGAGTGGATCAACAAACTATGCCCTGTCCATACAGTGAAACACTTCTCGGCAATAAAAATGAATGGGCCATTAATATACATGACAGCTTGAATCTTGATATAATTATGCTGAGTGAAAAGCCAGAAAAGATAGAGTACATAATGTATAATTCCCCTTATATAACATTCTGAAAAATGCAGGCACGTTTTGGTGACAGCTGATCAGGAGTTGCCTTGGGGAAGGGAATGAGAAGGAATTGCAGATGGAAGGATGGATGTTTGGTATGATGGCAGTGTTGGTTTCATGAAAGATACACGGGGTAGAACATCGAATGGTGCATCGTGAATATGTACAGTTTGATGTACATCAGTCATGCCTGATGAAGCAAAAAAATATAACTATCAATCTCAATCTGTGCCTCAGAAAGGCCTTGTATACAAGAATTGTCCACCAAAGGCAAACAGTGCTGAGAGACCAAGGAAAGAGGTAGACAAACCCAGGAATTCACGGAGTGTAGATTATTAAGGATTTATGGAGAGGAGCATGTCTTGGATTGGTGACAGGAAAAAAAGGATCTATATGCTAAGTTTAACAAATGTGGTCTGTGACCAACTAGAATGTACCTGGACTTTCTCAAGAAATATGAACATTTATAAGAGATGTTTCAGGCATCAGATAAGAGCAATGCATTTCCTTGATGACTTTGTTTATCCCATAGAGTCTAGGATGACGGCCAGGCCACCTAGAGGACAAGCTGGCATTTACTGCTAAGATAGTGGCAGTTATGTGAAACTGGATTCCTATAACTTTTTTAAATTAAGGAATACAAACTTCATGCATTTAATATATACAAATTTGGGAACAAGGTGATTCTTCCCCCCTATATCCCTCCTACCCTTCTTCCTCATCCCTCTCCCTTTCCCATTCTTATTTTTACAAAAATCAGTTTTCAGTTAATTTTATACTGATAAGATTAACCCTACACTAAGTAGAAAGTTCATTGAATAAAATGAAGAAAAAGAAACAAACAAGAAAAATATTGTTCCTTGACAGTCATGACAAGAACTGTTCAAAATCATCAAGGTGTCAGTTTCACTCCAAGATTACCTTTTAGGTACTCTATTACCACAGATCAGAGGGACCATATGGTATATGTCTTTCTGTGACTGGCTTATTTCACTAAGTATAATGATTTCCAGTTGCTTCCATTTTGTTGCAAATGACAGGACTTCTTTTTTATTGCTGTGTAGTATTCCATAGTGTATATATACCATAATTTCCTTATCCAGTCTTCAGCTGATGGACGTCTGGGTTGGTTCCATATCATAGCTATAAAGTAGACTCCCAATGAGTTGGGGAAATGGGGTGGGCAGATCAGATTTCTTTGACTATGCCTTGTTTTGTAGCTTTGACTTTGCACCTATTTCACAAAATTCTAAAACAAAGTTTAAGTTTTTAAATCCCTCAAAAATCATGAAAACAACAATAATGGAACCTATCAAACCATAGCTTCAGAAACAGTAACCATCCTGAGACAAATGGCAGCAACAAAAGCCAGAAATCTGCAAAACAATTTTAAGTTCATTTTCAAGAACCACATTGTTGTTGTTGATAGCATTACAAGATTATTGTGAATATTACATGGAATAGTGAAAATGAGTAATTACATTGCAGAACTTAGGGCATAGAAGTCAGAAGATCGGTAAATAAGATATGTAAGGGGAAAAGAAAACCCTGTAGTTCTCAGTAGAAACTCTTAATGTAGTTAAATAGAAGAATTTAAATAAATATTTTCTGACCATGTGCACTGGAAAAGTTGAGAGACAATAATCAGTAGTAATGAGCATTCTTACATTGCCATTTATGATCTTTGATACCATTTTCCATCAGAATGAACTGGGCCCCTTGGAGAAATGGCTGATTACATCTGAGGAAGGAAATGCATAGTGAGTCTGGAATATCTTTTTACATCACAAAGTAAGGAAACCTTTAGAGTATACTGGATTCCTGTCGAAAGACCTAGAGACCAACTGAAAGTTGCTTATTTGGCACGAATAGGGATGCAAACTAGAATGGATGGATACCCCACTAAGTACATTGAAATCCATGAGTTCATATTGACAGGTATTTAAAAAAGAAAGACAAATCCTTTTTAGTCTCCTTTGGATGAGGCAAAGTGGTAAATAAAGAAGGGATACCAAAACATGTGTTTTGCTTTTCCCATAGTACTATTCCTTGGAATAACCCTACATGGATGAGAGGAGTTGTCTCTATGGGAATATTCCAGTTAATCAATAGCAAAGGAGCAACAGGATTTTAATTTTAATTTAATTTATTTATTTTAGTATATGTGCTGCCCAAGCGAGCACAATTTTAATTTAATTTATTTATTTTAAAAATATTTATTTATTTGAAAGGCAGAGTTACAGAGAGAGTGGGGACAGAGACACACACAGAGAGAGGTCTTCTATCTGCTAGTTCACTCCCCAAATGGCAGCAATGGCTGGGGCTGGGCCAGGCTGAAGCCAGGAGCTTTTCTGGGTCTCCCATGTGGGTGCAGGGGTCCAAGCACTTGACCATCCTCCACTGCTTTCTCATGCCATTAACAGGGAGCTGAATTGGAAGTGGAGCAGCCAGGACTCCATCCGGTGCCCATATGGGATGCCAGCACTGCAGGCAGTGGCTTAACCTGCTATACCACAGTGCCAGCCCACAATAGGATTTTAAAATCAGAATTTTTGCCATGCCTAATGCGATAATAGTTCTAGGTGGTAACCCTTAACAGCTGCTGACATCACAGGGAGAGGGCAGTTGGATGTGTCCCTCCCAATGGACAAGTGCACCACTGCCTGTGACACAGCCACTGGGTCATGCAAACCCTTTGGAGTGTAGCCTCCAATTCACTGGCTCAGCCATTCTCTGTGTGAAGGGAGGTGTAACTTAACTCACTCACTCTCTTTTACATTATTAAAAAAATTTTTTTGACAGGCAGAGTGGACAGTGAGAGAGAGAGAGAGAGAGCCCTTCCTTTGCCGTTGGTTCACCCTCCAATGGCCACCATGGCCGGCGCGCTGCGGCTGGTGCACCACGCTGATCCGAAGCCAGGAGCCAGGTACTTCTCCTGGTCTCCCATGGGGTGCAGGGCCCAAGCACTTGGGCCACCCTTCACTGCACTCCCTGGCCACAGCAGAGAGCTGGCCTAGAAGAGGGGCCATCGGGACAGAATCCGGCGCCCCGACCGGGACTAGAACCCGGTGTGCTGGCACCGCAGGCGGAGGATTAGCCTACTGAGCTGCAGCGCTGGCCAAAATTTTTTAAGAATTTATTTATATTAAGGGAACAGATTTCATGTATTTCATACCTGCAGTTTTAAGGACATGGTGGTGCTTCCCACTCTACTCCCCTCCCTCATTGCCAGCCTCCCTCTTGCTATTCGTGTGTGGTGAAGAAGAGAGATGGGAGGAGACAGTGATGGGAGCCTGTGCTGTCTTTCAAGTCTGAGACTTCCGCATCATCTTCAGGGAACAGGTGACACAGCTTCAGCAGAAAGGACCGGAGCACCTCTGCAGACACCGAGGGTGAAATTGGCACGTTAGCTCTTCCATTGCATCAACTCCGTCATCCCCCGCCTGCCTCTTTCGGTCCCGTTCTTTCCCAGTTAGGGCCTTGATGTTGGTGTGGCAAAACTGCCTGCTTTCCACTCCATTCTCAACTCCTAGGCGTGGTCCTCAGCCTCATGGGGCCGCTGGCTGCAAGCAGTGGGAGCTTACCTGCCGCCGTGAAACCTCTGCTCCCACACCTGCCCTTTGGTTTCTGATTTCTCCCCTCCAGCCTTTCAGCGTGCTTTTCCAAAGCATGCACTTCCCTCAGCTGCAGCCCTGCGAGTCCATTGTCATTGTTACTATAAATGACCTTCACAGGCTGACAGTGAAAACTAGAGGTGGCAAAGGTGTCTCGAGCGCTGTTAGAAAATTGACGACGCCATGCTGTGTGTCCTTCGAGTGTAGGTGAGACACAGGGGTCCAGACCGAACAGAAAGTCTTAAAGAAGATAACGATCACACTGAATTTTCCATACAGGAAAGTGGTGGTTTATTTCAGCATAAAGACATTACACCAGAAAATTTGGGGCTTAAGAATTAAAAAAACAAACCTCATTGGTCATTAGGAGAGGGACTATAATATTCCATAATGAAGAAGTAATAAAATCAACCACTGACTCCTTGAGCTTAGTGATTTGATTGCCCAAAAGTGAAGGAGAACCCAAGTAGAATTAGTTAGGTCAGTACAATGTTTCTTATACCATAAGCATAATCAGGTTTGGATGGGAGGCAGAGATCCACATGGGGAATTTGGATTCAGGCTAGAATGTGCTCACAGAATTATGGGCCTGCGGTGAGCTCATTAAAACCCTAAGTCCCAGCTCAGTTGAGCAGCATCAGCTGCACTTCATCTGTCCTAAGAGTCAGTGCACAAGAAGGTCTGTGTCCAGGGACAGAGATGAAGGAGGAGGTGGGGCTAAGGCAGGGCTCTCAGCAGCAAGGGACAGCACAGCACATGGGGCGGGGGCAGGTGGAGATGACACAGGTTGGGCGATAGCAACTGGTGTGGCAGGAGACTTGGCCACAGACTGGGCGGAAGCAGCAGCTGGGGCAGCAGCTGGGGCGGCAGCAGCTGGAGCCACAGCAGCTGGAACTACTACAGGAGGGGCGGCAGCAGCTGGAGATGCAGCAGCTGGGGCGGCAGCAGGAGGGCTGGCAGCACTGGGACTGGCAGCACTGGGGCCTGCAGCAGCTGGAGATGCAGCAGGTGGGCCTGCAGCAGGTGGGCTGGCAGCACTGGGGCCTGCAGCAGCTGGAGATGCAGCAGGTGGGTCTGCAGCAGCTGGGCCGGCAGCAGGTGCGCTGGCAGCACACAGACTGGCAGCACTGGGGCCTGCAGCAGGTTGGGCGGCAGCAGGTGGGCTGGCAGCACTGGGGCCTGCAGCAGCTGGACACGCAGCAGCTGGGGCGGCAGCAGGTGGTCCTGCAGCAGGTGGTCTGAAGGCAGCTGGGCTGGCAGCAGGTCTCCTGCTCAGAGCAGACAGAGCCACAGGAGCTGACCATGGTGTCAGTGGAAGAGGTAGGGTTCTGTGAGTAGGTTTGAGTGAATTTCCTGAGTTTGAAATTCTCCTTCCTCCTGTCCCCTTTTATACACTTGAGTAGCTGATGTCACCATGATCATTACCCATTCCTTGTTATATTTGTACTAGGAAATCAATTAATCTTAGCATGTTACAATTGTGTTTATCTGGTTAAATGTGCCAATGTCTAGGAAAAACTTCATTTCCTTTTTCTATGGCATTGTGATTCATTCTGTGCTCTCAAGACATGTGAAACCACTTCCATGTTTCTACCTCTGTCCCATGTGTCTTCTAAATTGGAGCTGTCATGTGATAGTCTATTACTGCATATTGACATGTGGCACTCTTCTTTTTTGTGCATGGCTCCATGATAAATCTTTGAGGATGGCTCTTGCAAAGTCAGCTCTCTCTCTTTTTAAGATTTTATTTTTATTTGAGAGGTAGAGTTACAGACAAGGAGATGGAGAGACAGGGAGAAAGGTCTTCCATCCTCTGGTTCACTCTCCAAATGGCCACAACAACCAGAATCCAGCTCACCTGAAGCCAAGAGCTAGGTGCTTATTCCAAGTCTCCCACAGGGGTGCAGAGGCCTAAGGACTTGGGACATCTTCCATTGCTTTCCCAGGCCATAGCAGAGAGCTGGATCAGAAGAGGAGCAGCCAGAACTTGAACTGGAGCCCATATGGGATGCCAGTGCTTCAGGCAGAGACCTAGCCTACCATGCCACAGTGCTGGCCCTATAATCAAGCCTCTTCTTATGCCAGATAGGGTAAACACACGTTACTGTCCAGTAGAGTGCAGATAGAGAACCAGGGAGATAGTTCATCCCCAGAGTCCCTAGTGTGCAAGAAAGGAGGAGTATAAAGTTGTTCTGTTCCCTGATGAAAACAAGAGGCAGGTGCTTGCCAAAGACCTTCCCATCTCATTGCAGTGATTCTATCTGAAGAGTTAACTTTGAATCTTTCCTTTTCAATAGTGAAGACGCATTTAAGCAGATGAAGTCCCCCCACCCCCAGAATCTTGCCCATATACTGTATGCAAAAATCAGAGGGTTTGGTTTATATTGAATATTGAGCCAACTATGCAATGGATTCTACATTTTATAGAGTTTGATTGAAAGTATGCTTTTCATGTGTTCTTACAATAACACAAGTTCAAGACTTTGAATTCAAAGAGTTAAAACAGTTAAATCCTACTCTCTGCAGATACTTAAATATATTATAGTATAAGGGAAGAGTTTGGCAAAAAATTGGTGTCATAAGATTCGGGCCCCAGATGAGCCTTATGTGTAGAAGCGCCGTGCACTTCCATGAAAAACTGAGGTCACATGCCGACAGCTGCTGTTTGCGGGTGCTCGCCATGCGCCGGGGCTCCCCTTGAGGGCTTTGTCGCTATTGTCTTGATGTTTCTTATCAATGAACACATGAGGCACTCGTTACTCTCTATGAGTTCAAGGTTGCGGTGTCTTGTCCTGGTCTACGAAGGGTGGAAACCACTCCACATCCCTTCTTCACATTCCTCCTGGCAAATTCCAGGCCTTCCTTGAAGCTGCAGCCCAGATGCCTCCTCCTGCCTGAAGTGTTCCCTGGTGCATCATCTCACTGCAACTTCGTCTCACCGCCTCCTCGTGCGACTTTGTGCTGTGGCGCTCCCTGCCGCAGCACATCTGACCGTGACCTGGATGTGTCCATCCGTGCAGTGTCGGTTGCAGGGTGAACCCCTGAGGTGAATTCTTTGGTCACCTGTTGTTATCATGATGCTTGGAACAGAGTGTATTGCTAATGATCTATTTTTTATGTCTAGGAATTGCTTTTCACAATGTACTTGTGTCTCATAATTATATAAAGTGTATTTACAGTTCCAAAACAAAAAGGAGACCTATTTAAGGAAGTCTGGTGTCTCTTTCTGTTCTCCACCTATTTTTTCTCCCTTCCTTATAGGTAATAATTTTTTAAATTTAAGATTTTCCTTCCAATTATTATTTTCAATGTAAGCATATCTGTATTTACACGTTTGTATCTCTGTACAAACTCTGTTCTGTTCTGCTTTTGTTCACTCAACACGACCCAGCTTTTAGACTTTTTCAAGAGACACAGAAATGCTTTAAGGAAGAAATCTAAGTAGTAGAGTTTTTATGTTGCTTTTTATCCAGAAACATCTACAATAGTCTCAGGGCAACCTGGACAGATTGAGTAGAGTGATCACCTGCACCATAATGGTTAAGTCTTCTGCTGGCTTGGCATATGTTCAGTTTTCCTCATTCCATTTCCAACCACTAAGTATTCTATTTTTGGACAAAAAATAGCTTATATAGCCAGTCCCCTGTGGATAGATATTTTAGTTATTCCAAGGCTTTTGTTTTAAAAGCTATATTAGGCATTTGAAAACAAGGAATTCTATTTATATTTTGGAGATTGAGGGTTTAATAAATATTACTCACAATTTGGTTATTCCATGTTCTTATCAATTTATCTCCACCTCCTCTCTCTTTACATAGTTTATTAGAGTCTTTGATTTCTGGTTTGTTTCCTTATTCTCGAATCACCTGTGGTTTCTGTGTAGTTTTCATTCTGCAATGAGTTTGTCATTGTAACCTTCAGGGTAACAAATTATCCCACTTTGTTTGCTGTAACACATTTCCATGTAAAGCTAACCTGTATCAGAATTATGACTCAGGCTTTCTTTATTTGCATTTTAATTATATGTATCTTCATCCTTTTACTTTTCACCTGAATCTTGTTGCTTTAGTTTTGTGTCTTGTGTACCTCGCAGTGCTGGGTTTTTCTTTTAACAGATCTGAAAATCCTTTCTCCTTTCTTACACGTGAATTGAACCTGTAATACAGAATACTGATATGATCAGAGTGTTTGGCTTTGATCCTGTTATCTTGACCATGTATACAGGATGAATAGTGACGCAGATGCCCATGGACGTGGTAAAGCTTTGGGGTTTGGAGTGCAGCCTTCCATAGTTTTGTCCTCAGCACTTTATGACTGGGATGCTTCTGTGTTACATTTATTTTGATTTAATTATGTGTGGTCGTGTACCATGTGACAATGTTTCAGCCAATGATGACCCTCCTGTACTATACTGGTTTTGTAAGATGATATCCCCTAGTGATATCGTGACCAACTTTTTCTCGGTGCACGTGCACTCTGTGTCTGGAGACACTGACAGCACAGTCCTCAGAACACATCATGGTGAGAAGAGCTGCCGGTCCAGCATATGACATCTAATGAATTTATGTAGACTGACCTCCTATCTCATGCCTTAGTTAAACTCGCTTAGTAGTTTGAGGAGTTGTTTTGTAGTATCGGAACTCAGCTTTCTGTCTGCTTCTCACCCCAGGCAAATGACTGTTGGTTTGTCTCGGTTCATTCCTCAGTGGGAAGCGTGCACCCTTAGCCCCCTCTCCAAAGTAGGAGGCTTCTGTGGGGCTATAGGATTGAAAGGTAGGACACCCTATGTTGATACACCTGTCGTTTTGGAAACTTTGTCTCCAGATGTGTCATAGATGCCTGCATGTAAAGAGTAGCTTCAGAGCTCAATCTCACTCCTGTGAATAAAAGCATGAACAGAAATGAAACCTGAGTGTAAACCTGAGTGGACAAAGGCACAGGGAAACTGTAAAAGAAAACACCTCAGGCCGTCGCCGTGGCTCACTAGGCTAATCCTCCGCCTTGCGGCGCTGGCACACCAGGTTCTAGTCCCAGTCAGGGCTCCGGATTCTGTCCCGGTTGCCCCTCTTCCAGGCCAGCTCTCTGCTGTGGCCCGGGAGTGCAGTGGAGGATGGCCCAAGTGCTTGGGCCCTGCACCCCATGGGAGACCAGGAAAAGCACCTGGCTCCTGCCTTCGGATCAGCACGGTGCGCTGGCCGCGGCGGCCATTGGAGGATGAACCAACGGCAAAAGGAAGATCTTTCTCTCTGTCTCTCTCTCTCACTGTCCACTCTGCCTGTCAAAAAATAAAAAAAAAAAGAAAAAAAAGAAAAAAAAAAAGAAAACACCTCAGTGGTTTTCAAACATTTTTATTATTTTTATGTGTTTGAAAAAGCCTGGGGGCAGGATGAGAGAGAGGGAAAGTGTGGGAGGAAGAAAGAACAAAGAACAAAGAGAGGAGAGAGAGGAGAGAAAGGAAGAAAGAGAGAGAGAATTTTGATATTCCATCCATGGGTTCACTCCCCCAAATGCCTGTAATAGTCAGGGCTGGGCCAGGCCAAAGCCAGGAGCCCAGAACCCAGTTCGGATCTCCCACATGTGTGCCAGGAGCCCGACCACCTGAGCCAGCACCTGCTTCCAGAGGGCAGGGAGTGTAGCCAGGCCTCAAACACAGACTCTCCGGCGTGATGCACATATCCCATGTGGCTTAGCTGCCCTGCCAGACGCCTTCTCTGGTTTCTTCTTGAGGAGTTGTTTGTTTACTTTTGTTTTTTGATTTATTTTTGTTTTTGAGAAACCCCGTTAGACTGAATGTTCCATCAGCACAGAGGATTTTGTGCACATTGGTCCTCACTATTACTCCAGTAGCTGTAACAAGGTCCACTACATAAAAAGTGCTCAGCACACGCTGTTTGGAAGCAGGTGTGGATGTGTGGGAGGGTGGGTGCAGGCAGACCCATTCTCAGGGAGCCCAGTTTCCACGGGGGAACAGTTGACAGGAGCTCAGCGGGACATCCAGCCGTGGTCTTGCCACCTGCAGTTTGCCATGTGGTCTTCTCCAGGGCCTGCCTCGCTCTTCCTTAGGTCAAGTGGTGGGTCTGTTTTTAGCTTTCTGAGTAACCTCAGTACTGGTTCTCCAGGTAGCCGTACTGATCTGCCTTCCTACCAACAGCGTATAAGGATCCCCCTTTCTCCACACCCCCTCCAGCATGTGTTCCTTCTTTGTCTTCTTGGTAACAGCCATTCTTACTGGAGTAAGAAGATATCTCATTGTAGTGTATACAGAGTGGAATATTAATTGGCCATAAAAAGAATGAAAGCATGATGTTTTCAGCGAAATGAGTGGAAGTGGAAGTCACTGGGTGAAGTGGTGTGAAAGTCAAAAACATCTGTAGCGACTCTGTGTCTCAAGTTCAGGGAAAGAAGGCCCATCTGAATGTAGAACAGTGACTGCTTGGGGTAGAAAGGGCAGGGGTAGGGAGGAGGTAGAGCAAAGTAGGGGAAGGGCACCAAAACGTGGCTTCATAGAAGGGATGAGGTCTAGTGGTTGACAGCACACTCATGCAAGCTCATGGCAACCTATGACATGTTTTACACACAGATAGAGGAGCGGTGCCTGAAGGCTGCGAAACATTGATAGCTGTGATGGAATCAGCACACTTGTTGAAAGGTCGCACTGTACCCATTGATATGCCTAATTGTTGTTAATCAAAAAAATGTTTAGAGAGATGACACTGCTCACTAACCTAACTTGATCATCACCCATTGAACCCATGTATGAAGTCATCACACTGTCCTCCATAAAAAAGTATCCTTAAAATAATTAGAAATTTTAAAAAACTGAAGAGAGTGACAATCACACTGAATTTTTGGTGCAGAAAAGTGTAACTTTATTTTGGTAAAGAAATATATCATGTTACAGAAGACCTAGAAAGCAAGGAGAATAATTTCTCCAGTAAGCAAGTTGATGGGAAGGTCTATTGCTGTATGAGTATTCCTGGGAACATCCATCCTTTCAAATGACTGGCCCTGGTTCCTCTATGGAATGACAAAGCCCAATTCAGTTGAGTGACACCATCTCAACTCCATATGCCCTCATGTTGAGCACAGACACATGAAAGTCTGGACCGAAGCAAAGGGGTAGGCTCAGGGAGCAAGATTAGCAGCAAGGGACAGCACAGCACATGGGGCGGGGGCAGGTGGAGATGACACAGGTTGGGCGATAGCAACTGGTGTGGCAGGAGACTTGGCCACAGACTGGGCGGATGCAGCAGCCGGGGCAGCAGCTGGGGCGGCAGCAGCTGGAGCCGCAGCAGCTGGAACTGCTACAGGAGGGGCGGCAGCAGCTGGAGATGCAGCAGGTGGGGCGGCAGCAGGAGGGCTGGCAGCACTGGGGCCTGCAGCAGCTGGAGATGCAGCAGGTGGGCCTGCAGCAGGTGGGCTGGCAGCACTGGGGCCTGCAGCAGCTGGAGATGCAGCAAGTGGGCTTGCAGCAGGTGGGCTGGCAGCAGGAGGGTCTGCAGCAGCTGGGTCTGCAGCAGGAGGGTCTGCAGCAGCTGGGCTGGCAGCAGGTGCGCTGGCAGCACACAGACTGGCAGCACTGGGGCCTGCAGCAGCTGGAAATGCAGCAGGTTGGGCGGCAGCACTGGGGCCTGCAGCAGCTGGACACGCAGCAGCTGGGGCGGCAGCAGGTGGTCCTGCAGCAGGTGGTCTGAAGGCAGCTGGGCTGGCAGCAGGTCTCCTGCTCAGAGCAGACAGAGCCACAGGAGCTGACCATGGTGTTGGAGGGTGGAGGTTCTGGATGGGTTTTCTGGAGAGTGAAGTTGTTGGGTTTGAAAGTCTTCTTGGCCGGTACCCCTCTTTATACCCCGCTGAAGGCCTGTTGTCATCACATCATTATTTCCTTGTTATTATTGATCCTGCTGGAAAACTTCATCATTTAATTACTTAATTGTGTGATTCCAGTTACAGACTCCAAAAGAGAGAGCACACACATGCACACACACACACACACACTTCCTTTTCTGGTTGTGCTCTTGTGGTTCCAGTTGCAACACTCATTATATTTCTTCCTTAGTGGGTGTCACCTTTGTGCCTGGCCTATGTGCTGTCTTTACAAAGCACGTGACTCTGGAAATTTTGGATTTGACTGTGGCATTTGCTCCTGTCTGTACACTGCTCCCTGAAAATCATGGAGGATTGTTTTTCACAGTGCTAAAGTATTTTCATTGTCAAGGGAAGTTCTGATATTAAGAGTGAGCTCGCCAGCTCAGCTCCAGCCATTGAGGCCATTTGGGGAGTGAACCAGAAGATGCAAGCCGTCCCTTTCTGTCTCTCCCTCTCTCTGTCTGTAACTCTGCTTCTCAAATAAATAATAAATCTTTTTTTTTTTAAAGAGTGAGTTCAGTGAATTTGAAAGTCCTCTTTCATCCTCTGCTGGAAAAGCTGTGACCACATCCTGGGACATTTTCTCTTTTTACCTAAAGAAATATTAGTCACTAAGTTATATCCATTTTTCCACATAAATATGTTCACATGAAGAAATATAAGATTTCTTTTTCCTAGAGTGTTAGGCTGGTTCAGACTGGTCTTTGTCACAGAACTGCCTTCCCTGTTCCTTGTTTGTCCACCGTGTCTTCTCCAGAGGACGCGTCCCATGACTTCAATCACTGGGCTGCACCTGTGAGCCGTGTGTCACTCCCTGATGTTGCTTGAGCAAATTGTTCCCATGATGCCATGGTGACTTTTGATGTCAAAAGTGAATCAGAATCATGATAGGGAAGCAGAAAGACAAAAGCTCTTCCACGTGTGAAGAGCGGTGAGGAAGGCAGAGCTTCGTTTTGAGTCATGGATGCTCAGCGTAGAGAGGGGGTTCCCCAGAGGAAGGTATGCGCTCAGTGTTACTCCCTGTTTGAAGTTGTCGCTGTCACTGGTGGCTCTGAAATCTGCAAAGCCATTTGCAACCACCTGGACGGGACTCTCCCTGGCCCAACATGGGCACCGTGAGTGCTCGAGTGGCTAATGGCTGTAGTGGATCTTAACCCAACAAGCAACGTGGGAACCCAGGAGCCCACACCAAGACTCATTAATGTAAAAATAAGGAGGAAGGCAAGAAAGGTGTTCCCAACTTAGAATGTCAGTGAAACACATATAGAATGGATGGAGAAGTTATAAAATCACCATTTACCGCCATCACGACAAAACTCGATCAAGTAACTCTCATCAGGGAATGCTGCAACCAAGGGGAACAGGATAGTGGCACATGACAGTCTTTCCCCATCAATTTCCATTCACTTTAAAGGTAAAAATACTAACTCCTCTGTGGAGAAACTTGAGTTCACACACTGAACCATGAGAATGAGGTTAGCATTATTGATAGTGGACACACTGGCACGTGTCTCTAGAAGCCACACCCTGAAAGGATGCGTTGCTTGTCCAGTTTTCCTGTCAAACCACGTGACCTGCATCCACTGGACTGAGGACCACGCCAGGTCATGACTGGCCCTGTGCTTCCAAAATGCCACTGCTATCTAACACAGAGACAGCCTGGGAAAATGCTTCAGGTTTAAGGCAACAAGAGGGACACAGCATCTAAGGCAGTGTGTGAATAGAGAATAAAAAAATAATTGTTCTGGGGCCGGCGCTGTGGCGTAGCGGATAAAGCCGCCTCCCGCCAGTGCCAGCATCCCATGTGAGCGCTGGTTCGAATCCCGGCTGCTCCACTTCCTAGCCAGCTCTCCTATGGCCTGGGAGAGCAGTGGAAGGTGGCCCAAGTCCTTGGGCCCCAGTCCCCATGTGGGAGACCCAGAAGAAGCTCCAGGCTCCTGGCTTCGGATCGGCGCAGCTCCAGCCATTGCGGCCAGCTGGAGGGTGAACCAGTGGATGAAGGACCTCTGTCTCTCTCTCTCTCTGCCTCTCTGTGTAACTCTGACTTTCAAATAAATAAATAATCTTTTTAAAAAAATTGTTCTACATGACATTACCAGAACAATTCGTAATGTGTAGGCATGGAATATATTTTATTTTACCATTTTTTATTAGCTGGGGCTAAAGTCAGTGGCCAGCAGTGCAATCCCGACCTCCCACGTGGGTGACAGGAGTCCGGTCACTTGAGCCATTGCCACTGCTCTGAAGATCTGCCCTGGTGGGAGCTGGAGCCAGGAGCTGGAGCCAGGCGTCAGACCCAGGCTTTCGGATGTGAGGAGCAGCTGTCTTAACAACGAGGAGAAACACCCATTCCCTGGAATATATTTTAGATGATACTGTTATATTAACTATATCAATATTTAGTTGAATAGCTGTACTGTGGCTATGCAAGCAAATAGTTTTTGGACATAAATATGTCTAAATTCATATTATCTATCTGTGCATCTATCAATCTAGGAAATCAAGTGTGACAAAATGTTGAATCTAGGTGAAAACAATTTTGTATAAGGAATTTTTTGTGTTACTCTTGCAACTATTCTGCAAGCCTGAAATTCCCCCCTAAAAAAAGTTTAAAACTATGAAAAAATTTGGATTGAAAAAGTGTTAGTATATGAGGGGTGAGTAGTTTGGGTCTTTTGGGGGAATTCTTACGTACACAATACATTTTACTTTATAGGAACTTGGTTCTCCTCCTTTTTCGTATTTCTAAGAGGAAATCATTCATCCTCTTGGGTCGGTGAAAATAAAGGACTTCTGGCACACGTGGCTGAGCAAGTTCATATGGACAGACCCACTTCCTGGTTCAGACAAATAGAAAGGCTTACAAAATATTTTTTAAATATTTCAATTATATAGCTGAATTTGAATAAAGCAAAGTGAAATACTCATGTTCCAGAAACAAAGAGGTGACTCACACAGCACAGACTAGAGCTGGTATCTGTGGCCTGCGAAGGTGCGACATCCAGCTAGTGGCTCAGAATTGGAGGCGGGGGCAAGAAGTGGGACCTCAAACTGTCACAAGGAAGGGTCCAGGAAGGGAGACTCCGGTATGAAGGTTCTTTCTTTTTTAAAGATTTAATTATTTGAAAGGCAGAGTCAAAGACAGAGACAGAGAGACAGAGAGTGAGAGTGAGAGAGAAAGGTCTTCTATCTGCTGATTCACTGCCCAAATGGCCGCAACAGCCCTAGCCTGGGCCAAGCCAAAGGCAGGAGCCAGGAGCCAGGAGCCACATGAGTGCAGGGTCCTAAGGGCTTGGACTGTCCTCTGCCGCTTTCCCAGGTGCATTAGCAGGGAGCTGGATGTGAAGTGCAGCAGCCAGGACTCGGGACTCGATCGGCACCCATATGGGATGCTGGTGCTGCAAGCCATGGCTTTAACCTGGTATGCCACAGCACCACCCCTGTATGAAGTTTCTTTTTTGTAAGATTTCATATATTTTATTTGAGAGGTAGAGTTACAAACAGAGGGAGAGACAGAGAGAAAGGTCTTCCTTCCATTGGTTCACTCCCCAAATGGCTGCAATGGCTGAACCTGTGCTGATCTGAAGCCAGGAACCCGGTCTCCCCTGTGAGTGCAGGGACCCAAGCACTTGGGCCATCTTCCACTGCTTTCCCAGGCCACAGCAGAGAGCTGGATTGGAAGTGGAGCAGCCGGGACTAGAACCAGCGTCCACATGGGATGCCAGTGCTTCAGGCAGAAGATTAACCTACCGCACCATGGCACCAGCCCCATGAAGGTTCTTAAGTATTTATTTATGTATTTATTTATTTATTTGAAAGACAGAGTTACGGAGAGGCAGAGGCAGAGAGGGAGAGGTCTTCCATCCGCTGGTTCACTCTCCAAGTGGCCGTAATGGCTGGAGCTGAGCCAATCCGAAGCCAGGACCCAGAAGTTTCTTCAGGATCTCCCGCACAGGTGCAGGAGCCCAAGGATTTGGGTCATCTTCTCCTGCTTTCCTAGGCCATAGCAGAGAGCTGGATTGGAAGCGGAGCAGCTGGGACTCGAACCAGTGGCCATATGGGATGCCAGCACTGCAGGCAGCGGCTTAAGCTGCTATGCCACAGCACCGGCCCCTCTGAAGTACTCTTAAAGTGGCACCTTTTAAGATGGGGCCATGGAAACCTTAGTCTGCCCACAGGAATTTTATGTGATAGTTAAGTCTCTCGGGAAAAGGTAACCCACACAGTGTCCCATGCTTTGTAATTTACATTCTATGCATTGCTCAAGGAGAGAAAACAGACAGGTACTAACTAGTGAGTGTCCTTGGAATCATCTGAAACACAGGCAAAAAGTGAAGGCCAGAAATCATTTCCATGACAGGAAAACTCAAAATGAAAGGACTGTAAGCACAAGGGAAAATAAGCCTCTGAGAAACCACAGTGGGCTGCAAGGAGACCCCTCCCCCAGCCACCAAGGGCGAATTCCTGCCAAGATAAATGCAGAGGCACGTGTGGCCAGAGCCACAGAAAACAGCCCTTGGTGAGCGGCAGTGGGTGTAGGGAAAGGAAGGTAACCCCTAAGAGTGGAGGTAGCTAGAGACTGAGGGAGGCAATGGTGTAAATTGGCTTAAATGGCAGGCGAAAGATAGCAATCGCAGTGAAGGCATTGGACATTATAGGAAATAACTAATTTGGAAAAGAATTGTGATGTAGAAACATCCTTTCTCACGATCCCCCTTCCTGTCCCAGCATTTTGCTTCAATTGCAATGGTCTTTTCCTCTTGCTTGGAGCATTCCCTGTGGTCTCCTTTCTGTGAGGGCAGCTTGCTGGCGAGGTTGTGTCTTTTTGGTTTTTGGAGGATAGCTTTATTTTGCTCTGTCCTGTTTCTCTGATTATCGGATTCCAGATCAGCAGTGTTTCCATCCAGTGTTTTGAAAACG